TGCAATAAATAACTACTATAATCACCCTTCCTCTCCATTTTTATTAGGTTTTCTATATTAATGCGTGTATGCTGAACACATCAGTTATCCAGTTGCAGTACAGACTTTACCTATTTTTCTAATCCATTTCCTCCATTGACAGGACTATGCTCACAATTCACAAAACTTCTTTGTAGACATTTACTTATTTCACAGTTCATTAACCTTCAAACAGCACACCTGCCAGTTTGCAGGTGTGTTATCTAAAGCAATGATACAGTAAGTGCTAAAGTATGTTTGTGTCAGAAATGCTTATGAAACTAATGTTTTTCTCCACTGAGCTACCCAGCTGAGTTGAATTTATTTGCATCAATTTATAATGAGTTTTTTTCTTGATGGTAAGGGCAGTAGTTAAGCACCAGTCACTGCAAATATGCCCAAAAAAGACTAAAACTGTACTGTCTACCACTTCTTAAAGTTTGATCTTTATAAAAAATTGACAAGGATTATTCACTCTTTAACTTCTTTCCTTCTGCAGGAAGGAAACACTACCAGGCTTCATCTAAAAATTGACATCTTTTAACAGCTTTTTCACACAGCAGGGAAAATCTCATCAAGTGTCATATTCTTCCTTTTAACAGTTCTCTGTGGAGCACAGTGACATTTTCTGTTTTCTGTGGCTGGACTAGCCTCACATTGGCTCATTCTCATCTGACCTCAGGGTTTTCACATCATTAATAAAGAGATGATCAAAACAAAGGGTATATACATTAGGGTAGGAAAACTTTGCATAGTTTGGCACTATTATCATATATGACCTTAAAAATGGAACAAAATGAAATGCACGTAGCAGAGGTGCTGAACCTTCTAAGGACTGCTTCCAAACATTTCTCCTACTGGCAGCAAATCATTTTCAGACCTCCCAACTCTGGCCACCGTGATAGTTACCGCTATATGGGGTTTATTTCTTTTTGTTTCAGCTGTCAAAAAAAACTTCAAGTGATAGCTTTTTAAATCAACTAAACATATTGAAATCAAAACAAAACACTGACATCACTGGGACAACAGAAACACCACTCAGGAAGAACATTGTGTTTAGATTCTAGGCTTGTTTACCAATGGTTTTAACTTCTTTCACATTATGTCACAAATAGCCATTGCACCTGAAACCTGATCAAAAACTCATCCAAAAAATTCAAGTGCCCTCTTATTTCTGATGATCTGGTATAACACATGTCAACCAACTAAATCTGCTAGTCATGCCTCAATAGTAGTCAGTATTCTTCAGGATGAAGATCATCATAACTCTGCTTATACTTCATTTCTTACTGTTGAAACCAACTGTGCAAGCTAGAGCTCAAACTTAAACTACACTTTTCCAGCAGTAATATTTTTCTGAGCTAAATTTGCTAGGACATCATTAAAATTCCAAACATGAAATTATACCCCAAAAAAATCCATTCTACTGAATAACAAACACTGGTAGAATTTGCCAACAAAGAGAGTGAAACCAATGAACTTCCAGGGATACATGAACTACAAAAAATATGCTACAACATGTTGTTTCTAAGCTTCATGCCCTATCTGACCTGGCTTGTAAGAACCATGTGGGTAGGTGGAGGGCTGGCTATCAAGTAGCATCAGGACAATCCAGCAGAACCAGCACAGCATTCCAGGGGTTAATACTGCAACCAGTCCACACTTTTCCAGCAGTAATATTTTTCTGAGCTAAATTTGCTAGGACATCATTAAAATTCCAAACATGAAATTATACCCAAAAAAAATCCACTCTACTGTTTGTTAACACTGGTAGAATTTGCCAACAAAGAGAGTGAAACCAATGAACTTCCAGGGATACATGAACTACAAAAAATATGTTACAACATGCTGTTTCTAAACTTCATGCCCTATGTGACCTGGCTTGTAAGAACCATGTGGGTAGGTGGAGGGCTGGCTATCAAGTAGCATCAGGACAATCCAGCAGAACCAGCACAGCATTCCAGGGGTTAATACTGCAACCAGTCCTGTTCCACATCTTCATTAATGATCTGGGTGATGGGGTAGAGTGCAGCCTTAGCAAGTGCTGATGGAAAAAACGTGGAAAAGGCAACTGATACACCAGAGGGTCATGCTGCTGTTCGGAGGAATTCTGACAAGCTGGAGAAATGCGCTGACCTGAACCTCATGGAGTTCATGGAAAGGAAAGGTAAAGTCCTGCACCAGGAGAGAAACAATGCCAAGCACCCGCACGTGCTGGGGTTCATCAGCTGGAAAGCAGCTTTGCAGAAAAGGACTTTGGGGTGCTGGTGGTCATGATGGAGAACACCAGGAATGTGGCCCTGCAGGGACACACTAACAGCAGCCTGGGCTCATGAGGGGCTTAGGGAGCTGATCCTTCTCTTCTATCAGTCACTGCTCAGGCCACACCTGAGATATCATATCCAGCTCTGGGCATACTGAAGACAGCCCAGTGAAAGGCCATAAAGAAACTAAAGGATTAATTAAGGGCTTTATTAAAGCATTGGAGCATCTCTCATATCACAAAAGCCTGAGAAAGCTGAGTGTTTAGCCTAGAAATGTGAATGGGGCATCTTATCACTGTGTATAAATATCTGAAGGAAGGCTGTAAAGATGGAGCCAGACTCTTCCGTGGTGCCCAGTGAGAGGACAAGATGCAATGGCACAAACTGAAACCCAGGGTTTTCCCTCTGAGTATTGGAAACACTCACACTGACCCATGTGGCCCAAAGAGGTTGGAGAGTCTCCCGCCTCGAGATATTCAAGATACATCTGGATATGGTCCTGGACAGCTGGCTCTAGGTGGCCCTGCTCAAGCAGAGGGGCTGGACCAAATGAGCCCCAGAGCTCCCTTCCCTTCAATCATGACATGATTCTGTCACTCACATCCTGTTGCATCATATGCAGCTGCTTCAGCAAAATCTGAAGGTAACCTGCAGAGTACCATTAAGCTAAATAATAATAAAAGGCTTCTTATGAAATAACTGAGAGTCTTTGGAGGGCTTCTTTTATTACGGGATTTACTATGCTAATTTAATTACAACAAGGTGATTACAAAGTAATCCTATTTAGGCAGGAAGTTGACACTGCAACTCTGAACACCTTACTCAGCACAGGATTAGAACAGCCTTTTGGTGGTTACTTTCACCTCCAGAAAGAAGCACTTCAAGGCAAGTTATGAATATGTTTAAGGACACAAGACTGTACAAAAACTGTTCTACAAATAGTGTAGACGCACAGGAAGAAAGGTGTGTGGCTTAATGCAGGCCAAAATGTTATTAGCTTTCCTCATCTGGAATGACCAGCAACAACAGTTTGTACACTACAAAATTTCTTCCCTAATGACTTCCACCTGCTGGAGGGCTGCCATTTGCCCTGCATCTCCCTGCAGCTGCTTTCCCATCTGCTGCTGGAAGCCACTGCCCTCCCTTTAGATAAGACTTGAGGACTGGAGATGTATCATACAGTTGCTCTAAGCAACCAAAATCTTTTCCCAGTTCCCAGAGAACCAGACCTGCTGTGTCTAGAAGCACTGCTGGATTGCTACCACAGCACAATCTAGGCCTGATCACGTAAAAGGTTCAAGCTCAACAGCCTTGTGCAGAAACTGAGGCATCAGATACCTGTCAGAAGCCAATTGTTTCTCCACCAGGATTGCAGAATCCCAGCAGCCCTTCATCCAGAACACTGTAAATCAGCTCTTTGTACCACTGCCCATCAGCCAGCCAGATTGTAACACACTGAATACAAACCAGTGTGGTAAGGGATTAGGAAGTCTAATCAGTGGAGAACCAATGGAATTCATCACCATCCTCAGCAGTACAACAGGTCATACAAGCCTTGCAAAGCAGATTTGCACAGCCCAATATTTAAAATATTCAATCTTTCCTACTGAAATGCTAGATTCAGAGCACTGGAATTGTTGGAGTCTTTACCCTTGTTCTGTTATGATTACTTTGTATTGTACACATATGATGGTTGGCACACAAAACACAAGCTGGAAATGCCAACTTTAATCTGTGCCTTCTTGGCATGCAGAGCACAAGACATGCAGCAAAAAGGGATAATCAGAATCTTAGAAATATTTACTTCCTGCTTCCACAAGGAAGACAAGTTTAAGCATTTTTTTTTCCTAGAGTTTTGCAGGCCAGACATTTGAAACATTCTATAAGATTCCTGTGTACCTTAAATAATACACTTCTCTGAATAGAAACTATTTGCTCTGGATGACTAAATTTCACAGGTATTTGTTTTCTGAAACAAACAAACACATTAAAAGTAAAATAATGATGTTTTAATGGCAATCTAATCAGTATTGTGTGCTCCAAGCCTATGAAGTTTTAAAAAACACCAGGAAAATAGTTAATGGACATTTTAAACAGTGAATTTACATATTCCCTTAAATGTGACAACCATCTCAAATGGGTATTCCACTTTTATCCATATTTTTATGGTCTGATTTTGTAGATACATAAATAATTAATACACTGGTCTGTTTTAAAGAAGGAAATTACTCATATTTTAAAATAAATGTTGACTGCACTTGAAAAAATAACCAGGGATGAATAAAATGCACCTTTCAACAGATCTCTTCAAAATACATCAATAGCATCATCCTTCAGAACAGAAATACACAGAAGTAAGGGAGCCTCAACCAGAGCAACCAAAAGCGAAACTGTCACCTAACAGATGAGGAATCAGGTCATGATATCACAACAATCAAGTCATTAAGGTTCACCTCCCCCCACTGAACCAATGAGAATTAGACACAAACATTTTCTTAAAAGGTAATCACAAGCACTTCTAAAAATTCTAGAATGAGAGCAGGTGTACGACCAAAATTATATATACACCAAATACAGTGGCATTTAAATTGTTTTAAATTTTTCATTATTCTTTAACAAATTTTCTGCCACACAGACCTGAATCAAACACATCAAAACCTTGATACTGGCCATGAACTCAATATTTCTATTGCATTTCATGATTAGGAAATACAATACCTCTGTCTGAAGTATGGCAGCTCTCTGTTCTTTGGCAGTAAGGGACTCTTTAAGCACTTCAATGTGTTGCTTGCAATCTGAATTCTGATTGCTAAGGGTTTCAAGCTTAGTTTGTAAGGCAAGAAGTTCTGATTCTTTCTTTGAGAGTTCTTGTTTCAGTTGATCAATCTGCAGTGGGGGGAAAAAGTTAGGTCATTAATTTTGTCTCCAATTCATAGCTCCACTGGAAATCTGAAAAGTGTGAATGACCATGATATGACAAATCAGACACCTGTGAATTCTGGAAGAGAATTAAGGTTCAGACTCTTTATACTCACACCTCCAATTGTGTTTCTTGCAATTTAATGCACTCTGTCTTAAGAATGAATGCCCTGTTGTTGCAGAAGTTAAAAGGAAAATCATAAAGATGATTTGGCCTATAAATCCACCACAGACCTCACTTAAGTTCAAAGGCATGTATCCCATGTGAGGCAAGTCTGGCAGGACAGCAAAAATGCATAGGAAAAAAAGTATTCATAAAAGTATAAATCCAATCCTTCCAAGAGCATGATTCCCATGACTTATCATTGGCCAAAATGAATCAGGAATTTTTTGGAAGTCTGATAAAGAAAAACCAGCATCTTAAGAAAGGAAAACAGAAAAGTGGACTTTTAATCTTACTCCTTGCAAATTTGTTGCTGCCCACCATCCCCACCTCCTATTTTTCTCCCTGGCAGTTCACATGGAATTCTCAGGTAGTAGAGGAGCCAAGCCAAGAAGACTAACTTAAGAGAAGTCTGGGGAAAACATTATACAAAATTCCACACAATGAAGGCTCTGAGATTATAAAAGCTTGTCCCAGAGGAAACAGCAGAAACACAATACTAGGACAAGACTTCTGAATTTAAGTGAATTTAAGGTTCATCAGTAAATGTCATGGAATTGTGATTACTCTCCTCTTTCCATGATGATAAATGGGAAGAATAGCCAAAGAAGACAAAATTGTGGTGAATTTAGAATATATGAATCAGAGCAAAGCACTGGACTACATGTAGAAATATGTGTATAGGTGAAAGGATGGTGAATTAGGTGGCATATAACTACTCCTAAATTCCTGTGGTATAACACTGGTCACCAGCTGAATCCAGACGCATCACCTCATGAGGATTATGTGAAATAAAATGCCTTACTGCATCTGCATAACTCAGAGAAATCACTTCCTTTATATGAAGAGCTCTTTTCCATGTCCCAACAGACACTTGGGATGCAAGAAATCTAGAAGTGGTAGGTGGAAGATGATTCAAAAATCCCCAGGGAAAAGAAAAGAATATCCTACTCAGGTTGATCCTACTCAACCACATTCCAAATATCCACATACTAAAACATTTCACAAATTCAGTGTTGCATGATACTGGAAATACTCACTGCTGATCAAAATGCTTCTATTTTGTTTTACATTGCAAGTGCATATTTAAAAATTAAATTTAAAAACAATGATTTTTCCAACTACAGTCCATATGCATGTCTTACTATATCTATTCCTTATTTCTTTTTATAAATCGCAATATATTTGCATTATTGCTTAAGGTGCTCAGATAGTCACCCATGAGTTACTGTATAGAATGAAGAATCTACCCTGGCACTAAAAAAAAAAAAATCACCTTTAAAGTCTGAAAATATGAAAATCAGAAAAGAAGCATACAAAAACCAGACACAAAGAAAGAATGCAATTAAAAGCTGCTAGAGAAAGCTTTTTCTGGAAAGCAAAGCACCTTCCTCCATCCCTTGCCAGAACATGTAAGCAAGTATGGCAAGGAAGAGAAAATGGACAGAAAATGAACAATGGGAAAATCTGTCTGCAAGATACAAAGACAAAACGTGGATCTGCAGCCAATCTGAATTACATCACAGGCTTTATATGAGATGCATGTGAATATCACAGATGCTCAATCTCTTCTAGAAACTCTTCCCCTTCTCTCCATGACACAATCCACACCCTGAGAAATAATAAAACTATTTTAAAGGCTTTGCTTTCATTGCAGGTGTGTTCTTTGTGTTTTAGGAACAGATTCTGTTTAGTGTAAAGTTCTGGCTACAAGATCTACAAATTGTCAGGAGTTTAAAAATGTGTTACAGCTCTCAAAAAAAAAAAAAATTAAGAGTTAAAACACAAGTCAAACACACAGAGATTGTTGAATAAATATGCTGATGTCTTTTTAAAATAAAGTATCATGGTGGAAAAGTACTAAGATTTCTATTTTAAAAATTGCCCCAAAAATAAAGATATATAACAAAAAACTATAATTTTTTTATATTAAGAAAATATTTTTTATATTAAGAACATTTAAGCATGGGTATATTCACTTTTTTAAAGTTCTGCAATATCTCAGTGTGTAAAAAAACTAATTAAACAGGACATCAAATAGATTGTTTCCTCTAACAGATATACAAGCATTTTAGCTGTATCTAATGTGATGTGGAAGACCAACTGTCATGATTGAATGAAACCTCATGATCTCACATAATACATATATAACAGATTGTTATACTTTTTAAGGACTAAAATGAAGATAATCTACAAGTTTGGATGTAAGTGCTGTAGCACCAAAAACCTCCAAGTTTGTCCTCTGACCCTGACCTTCCACATATTTCATGTGTGTAATTTGCCTGTCACCACTGTTTCAACATTGCCCAATATGATCTTGTTTCACCTCCTTTCCTGAAACCTTAATTCCTTTTTCTTCCTTCTCAATTTACGATTCTGTCACCTCCCATAATTTCAGTTCTTTAGAACCCATTAATTTTCCATTTCCAGAAAACCCCAATGGGTGTTCTTCTGTTATTTTCTTCACACCAAATTCTTATGTGGCATTATGCAGAGTAACCAGAAAACAAAGAGGAAAAAATCAGACCTTTTCTTCTGAATTTTGCACATTAAAATTAATGGCCTAAATCTTGAAATAAATTCCATTAAATGAAACTATGCTGATGAATGCATCATAGGATTTGGTATGATGCAACAAATGGCAACTGGTTTTTCAAGTCAAGGATTTAAGAAAAGGAAAAGGAGTAGCAAAGCAAATCATGTGCCTGCATACAGTAGACCCTACAAGTTTATCAGTAGATTCTACAGGTTATGTTGGTAAAGGTCTGGTTTTAAACTGGTTGTTAAATTTCCAGGCCTACCCATCCAAAAATAAAATTCTGTAGTTCTTTCTCTGTTATTTTTATTTGTTTGTGGGGTTTTTGTTTGTTTGGGTTTTTTGTGGAGTTTTTTTGTTTGTCTGGTTGGTTGGTTTTCAGGTTTTTTCATTTGGTTTTGTTGGTTTTTGGTTTTGTTTTTTTTTCCTAGAGGATCTCCTAGAACTTGCATGCTCCCTTCATTCAGTATGGAAAGCCCTTATATGCAAACATTGATCGCAGAGCACCTTATTACTGCTTTGTCAATACTTAAATCTCATCTTACTGATAGTTTGCTGAAATTGTACTAATCCACCGCTAGATTTTCATACCCATTCCAGTGGATAGCATGAGAGTTCTAATACTCAAAGGACTACTTAAATTCCAAGTGCAAACTCACACCTGGAAAGAAAAAAAAAAAAAGCATCTGTGTTCATTTAAATATGTGGCTGACAGCCAAAGGATGAACCCCAGTAAGGGAAGAAAGTCTTCCAGAGCAGATATTATTATTAAAAGTACATATCATCCTATATGTTTTCTTTATATTCTCAATTAAGATATTTGAAGGTGCAGATCTCTTGGTTTTGGTAATTTCTGTATTACGGGAGTAATGACAAGTTTTCTCCCTTCAAAAACTGAGCAAGGAGAGGCCTTAAGTGGAAAAGAAAAAGAAATCTGAGCAAGTGTTCTTTCTCATTTTTACAATTTATTTTAACTGCAAGTCACAAGTAAAGCCTATATATTTGGAAGGAGTGAATATTACTAAGAAATATTTAAGAAAAGAAACACTTCCAAACATTCTCTGCCACTCATGTAAGTAAATCGTGTTCAGTATTTGCCTTCATTTAACACCTTCCCGTTTATTTAAATCAAGAACAGATTGAAAACAAGTGATAATTCAAGAATAAATGAAAAGTATTAAGAGCTTCAAGCACCTCAGATGAGGTACTTTTGTACTGTTCTTTGCCATCAATTCTGTTTATCAGAATTTATCAATGATCTCTGGTTCAACAGATCAGGTACAGCAAGATCTGTTTGCTGACAGCTCCACAAATACTTTTCCACCTTGAAAGGTTCTCAGATGAGTGATAAAAATAACATCATCTGCTGCAAATCTTAATTTTAAGGAAGAAAAAGACCAGTGAAAGAAAACAGACAAAGCTTCATCAGAACATGGCATTTATGAAAGATCAGAAGGCTGTGACAAAACAATGCATATCTAATATTCTTCTCATTCATCTGCTTTCTGTGCTACAGAAATACACTGAAGCTTTTCCTCACAAAAACATCAGGAGAGTGTTAAGGTTTCTAGGCTTTGTACCTTATTTTTATATCAACAGGTTTGCTGACATGCATTGGGAGTTTTGCTGTAAGTCACTAAGACTGAATTGGTTTGAAATTAATAATGTTTAGGTTAGCAAAACAATATTCCTGATGACCATGCCACTTTAGGAGCTTTAGTTATTTTTCAGTAGCTTAAGAGCTACTTTTGTCCAACAGAATAGATAGGTTCTTTGATCATTACTTTTTCTTAATAAATCTGTATTAATTCCACATGGGCACTAACACTTTCATTTCTTCTGTAGCAAAAACCCCCAAACGATGAACAAGCAATAACGTTTTGTGATTTGAAACCAGGAAATGTGTCACATCACTTCATATTTACTACCTGCCTGTGGTCAGCTCCTAATAGTCTAGGTACAGTAATTTGAAATTAAAGAACAAAGTCATTCAATTGCTAGTCTTGAAAATATGAACAGAATACAATTTGGTATCACCTATGAAACAAAAGTCCTTACTGCAAAATGACATCAAAAGCTAAAATCAAATCATTTTCGTTTCTCCAAAATGTTTCACTCCTTCACATCTACTGATTATTATATAGTAGAGATTTACCAAAAGGAGACATGCAGCTTCTTGCATTGGAAAAGTTTTCTTTCCATTATTTAAACAGTCTTAATCTCTTTTATAAATAGATCCTACCTTATTTTTCATGAACTTTGAGTGACTCTTGTAAACTTCTATTTGTTTGATTTCTTCTTCTCGGTCCTCTGTATTCAGAACTCCATTTGTCTTTAACATCTGTATTTCATCTTCAAGATCTCTTATATTGCGCTCAAGTGAAGCTATTTTTGTATCCTAAGTTACAAAAAAAGAACATTGAAAATTATATGAGACATATATTAAAGATTAACAGAAGCATATCTGTACTGGAATGAACATCAAATAATGAGACAGCAAAAATAGATGGTACAAACAGAGAATCCACACAAACCAGAAATAATTCTATCAGTTATAGCTTAAAGAAATGCAGAATTCAGACCAGATCACTTCCACCATAGTTGCACAGTCTGTACAGAATACATTCTGGTCAAAATTCCATTTAATTCCTACACAGAGATGAAGGGAGACTAGCAGATGCCCTATTTTTCCACATATGTATGATAACAAAACTTGTTATCATTAGTAACCATCTGGGCCTGGCTCTTCTTCCAAGCCCTTAAACACCAAGTTGAGCCTGGAGAGACCAGCCCATGTCCCTGCTGGGCAAAGGCTCAGCCATTGTGGGTCCCTGTTTCTCTGGAGCTCTGCCTGCTCTCAGGAGGGAGAAGGGTTGTGTCCTCAGATATTTTTCCTTGACTAATCCAGCCACATCACTAAGAGAGGATTTAGCACTTTTTATTGTGAGTCCCAAGATAAACAAAACCACAACCACGAAAAATTTCTACATCTCAGCCAATGGCTGCCATGTGTGCCAGCACCACACTGGAAAACAGTGATAATTTTTTGTTATTTCCAGTCATTTGGGAGTTGGCTAAGTCCCTTTTGTGAGAGTCAGAAAGATGACAAAAGTGATTACACAAACTTGTCACAAATTTCTGTTTGAAAGAACATTGCAGAATTACTCATTAGGAAATCTGTTCAACAGCATAAAGGATCAACCACCCATAAACTATTAGAGACTGGATTAAGTTCTTGTACCATTGAGATCAATATTAAATAATTTAAAACTAAATTAAATTTAAATTAAAATTTCAAAAATAGAAAAAACACCACACAAAATCCAATCTGATTCACTAAGACCAGGTTATTAAGTTAGAAAGCTAATTAGGAAAAAAATACAAATGGAATTGATGCTTTAAGAAGGATAAGCTAAGCTTGAATCACTGCAACTTTTTTCTGTTGCTTTCTTTAGATGGCCTAAAAACCAGCTTTCTTTAGATGGCCTAAAAACCAGCAAAAAACCCAACTCCTGTAATAACTTCTTTCATAATAAAGCTAGGCACACACTTTAAGATACAGAGGAGTCTGAAGTTCCAAAAAGCATCTGAATTTTTAGTACTGAAGTGAAAAAGAATCTCAGATTATTTTTGAAGACCGCTGTTATAAATCCATATAGAATAATAGCCAAGGACTAAGCAATGTCATTTAGACAGCCCACTGTCATTCCTCTAATATTTTTGCTTTTATCTTTATAGTCAACAATAAATCTCAAACTGAGAGAAGTTTTCTTTTATTATTTTCTTATTCCAACAGAAATTAATTTTTAAATTAATTTCAATTCTAAAACAGGAAGTATTGAGATGGAATGAAAAAAGGGAAGAATTCCCATTTAATCCTATCATTTAAAGAAGGTGCACAAAAAGCAAAATACAGAAAAGATGCAGAAGTATTTAAAAGCTCTCCAGACTTAAACACAACACAAAAATAATTGTAGATCTCACAGATACTATAAACAATTCAGCCTGCTCCATTAGACTTCATTTCAGAAATATTTTCATCCTATTTTTGAAGATAAAAGCAAAACCTAAGCTTCATTACACTTTGGAATGATTTTGCAATGAAATATATTAATACTTACATGACCTGCTGTGACATGACATCTGGGAATAGTCTTCATCAAATCTGCCCAGCTAAGTCTATAAGAGTTTGCCTTTTTTTACTGCCTTTGTATTTTACATGTTTGCAAATATAATATGGCAGAAATCATTTTAGCACAGCCTACTACATTCTTTAGAAGGTTTATACATCACAGAATAACATTTGAGCTTTATGAGAAATATCTAAAATAACTTGTGGAAGCATTTTCTGTACTTCTGCTTCATCATAATATTGCAATTTCTGAGGAAAAGTTTATTTTTAATCAATCTTTGCATACTGTGATTAGAGATGTGTAAAAGCCATTTTCCTGTCTTGAAAATTTGTCACTAAGTTCTACATGAGCTTTTTATTGAAACAGAAGCCAGAAATTTGACAAATTTTGTGAAACTCAAAGGTACTGTTCCCTATTGTTCCTACTACAGGAAACCTTGCAGGCTTCCAGCCTGGACAACTGCTGGAAATTGAAGAACTTCATAGGTCAAAGATAAAACAGAGAGCCCAGAGCTCCCAGTGGTACTGCCACAAGGGAGCTGGGCTGGCATACAGGATGCACAGAAAGTTAGGTAGAGCTTTGCATTTGCTAAAAGTTCTGACATATTCCCATAAAATCTCCTGATTAAGCTGAATCGGCATTTTCCCACAGAAAATTTCAACTGGAAGATTTTCAACCAGTCTTGTTGGGGCACAGGGTCCAGCAAACTTTCAGAAACTGAAATGGGAACAGATGCAATATTTCCTTCAAAGCTCTACGATTTATCCCCATTAGCAATATTCTAAAAAACTATATAGGTCTGTCCTGAATCACAGATTCCTTTGCAATATTAAGGAAGCAGCTTAGTATTAAATGGTACTAATAACATCTTCTGATTTCTAAAACAATACAGCATTTGTTCCAATTTTTTTCAGTCAGGCCCTCTAAATCTGTTAAAAGACATAAGATTATGTAGCAGGATTTGTGACAGAGATCAGGGCACTCACCCTAATCTATCCCCTCCTTCCAGCAGTAACCAATACTTCTTCCTTATCTCCTTTATTAGAATAGTGTTACAGATATTCTGTGAGAGGTTAGGGCTATTTAAGTTTCTGCTGGCTGGACCTAGCAGAAACCCACCTCTTTGGAATATGAAAAAAATTACTATGTGTCCTGATTTTGAAGAAAACAGTATTGCACAATGGAAAAAGTCTAACAAGTGAGTTTCCACAATGATGTTTCATGGATGATATCAGTCCTTACAAGACTCCTGTAGTATGTTTCCTGAAAACTGAGGGGCAGGAAAAGGTCAAAACATTTGTAAATAACCACAGAATCACAGAATAGTCTGAGTTGGAAGGGATCCACAAGGATCATCAAGTCCAACCCTATATAATACAGCATTCCAGGCTGTCTTATTCTGAAAGGAAAAGTAAGGAAATTCTACTGCTCATCATTTGAGATACATGACAAATTTAAATTACAACTGCATCATTTTGCTTGTAGGACATTCAACAAGCAATCAGAAGGAAATATTTGAAACTTCACATTTAATAAAGCTTGAATTTAAACACACTTACGTGTATGGACTGTCAACAGACCATACACACCTACCCTTACTGTATGGATTTTTACCTTATCAATTTAATGCAGAGAATATTGAGGCTTATCTTTGAAGATAAGGGAAGTGAAAGTTCATGCAGTCTTAACAGCAGAGTATTTTGCACTGCAAACACACACACACTTCTCTAGAACCAAACCCATACCTGAAATATCACAGCTGGATCAATACATAAAGATGGCTCTTTCTGCAAGTAAGGTAAACCACAAATATTTTCACTTTACAGCTTACATCTATAAACACTTTATAGTTACTAGACTCCCCATATTTTTCAATGTCCTATCCTTAAGGTGAGTTCTAGGCCATATTTGTAGGCAATTTCTGATTTTCTCTCTCAAGTACTATCACTGTTTTAGTGATGATAGAATTAGACCATAGCAACCTGTAATGGCTGGATTGGAAGCAGCATTTGAAGGTCATCTAACAGATGGCTCTTTCTGCAAGTAAGGTAAACCACAAATATTTTCACTTTACAGCTTACATCTATAAAGACTTTATAGTTACTAGACTCCCCATATTTTTCAATGTCCTATCCTTAAGGTGAGTTCTAGGCCATATTTGTAGGCAATTTCTGATTTTCTCTCTCAAGTACTATCACTGTTTTAGTGATAGAATTAGACCATAGCAACCCGTAATGGCTGGGTTGGAAGCAGCATTTGAAGGCCATCTAACCCAACCCCCTGCCATGGCCAGGGACACCTTCCACCATCCCAGGTTGCTCCAAGCCCCATCTAACCTTGTCAGGAACACCTTCATGGAAGGGACAGCTTCTCTGGGCACCCTGTGCCAGGGCCCCACCACACCCATCATAAATTTCTTTTTCTTCATGCGTCCAATCTAAATCAATCCTATTTCAGTTTAAAACCACTGTTTCTTGTCCTGTCACAACAGGCCCTATTGAAAGGTCTGTCCCCACCTTTCCTGTATGTCCCCTTCCAGCACTGGAAGGCTGCCAGCCCACCGAGAGCCTCCTCTTCTCCAGGCCGAGCAGCCCAACTGTGCCAGCCTGTCTGCACAGGAGCGCTGCTCCAGCCCTCGGATCACTGCTGTGCCTCTCCTCTGCACTTCCTCCAACAGATCCATGTCTTTTTTTGTCCTGTGGAGCCCAGAACAGAAGGCAGCACTCCAGGTGGGGCCTCATGAGAGATGAGCCAGTTTTGACCTGATTCATTTGCTCAGGAGTACTTACCATAAATTCAAGTGAAAAGGGTGTTTCCTTTTAACCTTTTTTTAAATTATTAGGTGTTAATCAACACTGAATGTCACTGATATTCAAGATACATTCAAAGATATCAGTCATCTGGCATTTGCCAGCACACAATATGCAAGGAAATTGCATTGGTGCAATTGCAAATAAAGGAAAGGATTTCCATGCACCATTTTATTTTATACTTTAACAGACTAAGATTTAGGCATGAGGGGGAAAAATGCAGTTTAATCACATATATCCACAGTCACAAAGTCAAAAGCAACCACTGAAACAAAACTAGACTAGTTTGAGGGTATAATAGGAACATGTGAGAGAAGGAAGCATCCGGCCCTCCCTTAGTTTTGTGACTCTGCTTTCTAGAAGAAAAAAGGGCTTCTGGAGAATAAGGTCAGTTGCAGAAAACAGAACACAGTAACGAGTGTAGTGAGAAGCAATAGAACAAAAGACATGGGACATCTGGAAGTAAATGTGTCCATGAAGCAAAACGAGAAAGTTAGGAAAGAACAGCCTGTGCAATGCATCTGAAAAGACAACGGATATCTGGAAAGGATAAATAAAGCAAGAAAACAGGAGTCAAGGCATAGGATGTGAATTTTCCATCTTCTTTTGTTTGCTCTTTTTTAATTTTGCATGAATATACAGGAGATATACACTGGTGAACAAGACAACAGTTATGCAAAAAAATGCAATTGCTGTAAGAATAAGCAACAACTTGCAAAGCTTTAGAGACAAATGAAGAAGATGACAGGACAGGACACGTAGTGCAGATGTCTAGGACAAACAAACAGAAGAGAGGATAGGTAGGAGAAATGGGTATACTTGTTTGGATCAAAGGGAATACAGACTGGGAAAAGGGACAGAAAGAATTCAGCAGGGGCAAGAGACAGAAGAAAACCACAGAGAGAACAGAAAGATTTATGAAGGAGGGAAAGTTGTATCCTGGCAGAGCCTGGGGGAGCCATGGAAGGCACTCAGACAAAAAAAGTGGTGAGAGGCTGGAAGGGGCTGGGTGTGGTGAAGAGAAATGTAAACTGCTTGGAGTCTCTGCGTGGGGGAGTGGATGGCCTGAGACTGCCACATTACAGTTAATCCTCTCCCTCCTTCTACCCTCAACATTGTAGGGAAACAATTCCTCCAATGCTTGATCATTCACAACAAATGTTCTGCACTTTTTTCAAAACAAATGCTGTCTGGATTAAGACAATTTAAATTTACTTGAAAACATTCCAAATCTGGAATTTGTAATGAAAACTGCTGTTTAATCATGTGGATTTCAACATCTTACATTCGTCCCTTTTTCTTTTCAATATTAGGCCTACTTTAGACAGGGGCAACCCCAAAGGGACAGAAAGAACTGCGTGCCTCAGAGGCAAAGAGCAGCTTTGCATCAGGACTCCAGCAACAGGACTGCAGCCTCACTCACAACCAATGAAAGCCCTCACTATAAAGATCTGATTTTTAAAAAGTGGAATACTGCACCACGCCCATCTCTCCTGGGAATCAAACAGAAAACACTTCAGTGTCTCCAGTGACAGACACTGCAGGAGCAGCGACAGTCATCACATGTGTCACTCAAGCATCCTGTACCCCCATCCCTGTTCTTTTCAAAGACTTTTGGTACAGGAAGAGGAACTGAAAATTAACTTCAGCATGTCCTTTACATTGTTATATAAACCACATGAAAGATTATACATTATTCTAACACATTGCTTTAGTATCCCAGAACTTTTAAATTTATAATTCTGAATATTAATAGTAAAACCAAGTTTCTCAGCCAGTACTTTACTTTCCCATTTATTTAGGGTAGTGAGTTACTGCAAAAACATAGATTTCATACAAAGACTTCTGAACTAATGTCCAAAGCAAATATACATCCAAAAAGAGAATTCTGTAATCAATGTACCTTCTTTGTTACTCATATAATCCAAACTAATTATTATCTACAAAAAGACAGATACTGTATTGATAAAGTCCTGCTGTTGTTTTAACTGTGTGTTTACCACAATGTTCAGACATGCTGAACTCATTTGCTCACAACAGAAGTCAGTGGCAAAATGAGGCCTTTAATTTGCACTTCCTTTTAAGAATGAAATGAAAGATCATCATTACTGAATTTTAGGCAGCATTGCCAACTCACAAATTATCTCAAATCTCATGGTATTTCTCTTAAAGATGAACAATCCAGACTCATAGAATTATGCAAAAATATCAGTTTTCACTTTTGAAATTACTATTTTTATTCCTTGTTATTGTGGAGGGGAAAGCCACAACACTTTAGTAATATTATATATCAAAAAGAGTGAACTATAGTCAGGACTAAGAGAGCTGTTTCATCACATTTTGTCATATCTGCTGATGTGATAATATTTTCCTTAGATTGGCTGTAAAATTATGGCCTAATAACAACCAACACAAGAACTGGTTTTAAGGTTTGAGGAGGAAAATATTTCACATTAGCCAGTTTATTCCATGTACTTTGGATCTCCTACACACACACCCTAGTCTTTTTAAAAAGCAATATTCTGTTCTCATTTTTCAGCAATGCCACACTTGATTTTTTTAATCAATTCTTTTTAGAAAACAGACCAAGATAAATAAGTACTAATTACTCCTAGCTACGTAACAAAATAAATTGACATGGTAAAGGAAGCATTCAATAACTAACGAGTAAAAGTCATAAATCAACACTTGCTAGGCAGCTGTCACAGCTTCTTGTTCACTCCTCCTCAGTGGGATGGGCGAGAGAGCCAGAGAGCAGAAGTGGGAAAACCCATTGTTTGAGATAAAGCTGGTGTAGCATGTAAAGCAAAGCGACACATGGAATTCATGCACTGCTTCCCATGGGCAGGTAGATGCCTGGCTGTTTTCAGGAGAGCTCATCAGGCACAAGAGTTATTTGGGAACACAAATGCCGTGACTCTGAAGGTCCTCCCTTCAGCTTGCGGAGGCTGAGCGTCACACGGCAGTATGGATTATCCCTGTGGTGAATTTGGGTCAGCTGTCCTCACTGTGCTCCCTCCCAGGCTCTTCTCCACCCCCACCCTACTTGCACGGTGGGGGCAGAGTGAGAAACTAGGAAAGCTTTGACTCTTTGTGTAAGCCCTGTTGGACAACAGCTAAAAGATCAGCATGTTATCAACACTGTTTTCAGTCTGAAATTCAAAACACAGCACCGGACAGGCTGCTACAGGGAAAAGTAACTCCATCCCAGCCATACCCAGTACATGAGTTCATGCTGCAGAAATAACATAGAGGGAAACATGCAAAGACCATACCTTCATCTCGATGACTGTTTGCAGAGCCTTCGTCTTTGCTGGCTCAGGCTGAAGTTGGGTTCTTCTATGCAATTCCTGTGGAGGGACACGATAGAAATAAGCTTGACGACTCATCTTTCCATTATTTTAATTGCTCACATGAACTCATTGCAACAAAATAAAAGTCTGATGACAAGAGCAGGCAACTCCAAGTGCTACAGGTGCTTCCCTGGCTGTATCCCCTCTGCCACCAGTGCACTCCCTATCTTGTGTTACAGCCAACTCTGACAGCACATGCGCTATTTCTGAAACCCCTTATCAATAATTAACGGCAGGCGTGACAACCCAGCAAGGAATTTCTTAGTCCAGATACAATGCTGCTGTTGCTGCTTAAACAACAAAACTTTATTCAATTCTGTTACTAATTCAGACATTGCTAAGTGTTAAATCTTTTACTGCAGTTTCTTCTTAATTTTCCTCTATTGTCTGAAGTAAGCAATTTAAATACATTATATTCAAATTTGACATTTTAAGGATAATAATTATGTAGTGGGCTGACACCGCACACGCTACAGGAGCATTAACATTTCAGTTTTCACATTTTCATACTGTTTTGCATGCATCTTAATCCACAGGCAAAAGAAAAATGGATTGCATTGGTTAAGACAAAGTTAACAGTACAAATACATACTGGTCCTTATAAAAACAATAATTAAAAAAAACCCACAAGAGTATGAAGACAGCAGCACTCAGTCTCATGAAACCAGGTTTGTATCTTGGTATGACATATTCTGATAAAAAACTCACACAACTACCTGGAAAAAATGTAGTAAAGGTGTGACAAAACACTTTCATTTGAGAATTTGGTGATGCTTATTCCCTTCCCATAAACCATCTAAGAAGTTTCTTAAAAAAACCTGAAACAGGACAGATATTGTCCCATTTCTACTCTTTTGGAGTCTTTCTGCTCTAAAGAACAGGAGTATCATCCTTGATCTCTTTATGTCCCAGTTCTTTCTACTGCAGTGCTCCACACAGACTCCTGAACTAACCTTGTAGCCATGAAAAAGATGTTTATGCTTGAGGCCAAGGAACCAAGGTCTTGCCTCACTTATAACCCAGAAGTTTAAAAGCCATTTTTTGTATCACAAACTATCAATCAGTTTCTTCTTCTGTGTAGCAACAAACATATTGCTTATCCATGACTGTGAGAAACAACTGTTCTCAAAGACTAATTACTATGTGTTATTAAACTGAAGTCTATTGTTAATAAACATTTTTATAAAATAGATTAAAAAATATGCGGCCTAATGTACTAAAATAACTGAAAGAGACATATTAGTACACTTAACACTAAGTCTGAACAGTTTTTTATTAAATATACTGCAGGTACATATACATATATTTAAACTACCTTTAACAGTCAACTTATAATTTTGCTTTTATGCATTTTTCAAATGCTTTGGCATTTATGAAATTCTTTCTTCATTTATGAAATAGTATATCTGATTGGGCCCTTTTCCTTGTGGTTTTTTTTTTTTAATTTAAATGCAACTCTCCATATTATAAAAAGAAAGAAATCTTTGCAAATCACCTATGCAAGGAATCACTCAATCGCCACCAGCTGTTTTTCTTAGATGAAATAAGTACCTTCACTGCACAAATGTTTTAAAAAATAAGAGTATGTAATGAATTTGTCATACAGTTACACAAAAGAATAGTTGGCCAGTCATACCACTATCAGATCAGCAAAAATTACAGCTAATTCTAAGACCAGACTTTGCTCCCCAGGGCCATATAAACTGAGCTGGAATATAAACAGGATTCCACACATTGCCCAGGGAGACAAACCAGAGTTTCCACCCCCTTAGCCAAAGATGTATAGACTGCCAAAGATGCGTATTCCGAGATGTCTATCATAGCATGAAGCCTTGCCTCATAATGCTTTTCCTGTTTGCTTTATGAATCAATCTGATGCTGGCTGACTTAAAAGCTTTTCTTCTCTATCCCTGATGGTAAAATGAAGCAGACTTTAGGATTCTGGAGAAGATCAGAAAATGACTCCCACTTCATTATTTTGTGTGGGTTTTCTTCCAATCAGATTCAAATGTTTGGAGACTCCCACAAGGCTCAGTTCTTGAATTTATGTTGTTCTATGTATGTGCTTTTTTATTTGGGGTACCTGATTCAGGGATATACTTTTGGGGTACTAATTTAAGGATACACTTTATGTGCATGATACCTGATTGTTACCCTGATTGTTTTACTGTCTGAGGTCATCTGGAGGCTTTCAAATTTGCCTGAACAGCTAAGCAAGAGATATTCTAGAGATTTCAGAAAGTCCTCATAGCCTAAGGAAACCAGATTTTTATCCATTACATCATTTCTGGAATTATGTCTATTTCTTGTTTTCAATTTCTTTTAATAAAAAACACAGAGAGACAAATAAGAAAATGTGGGGGGGAAAAAAATCAAAAAACTTACCAGGGATAGTTTCTTTTAACCTAAACTGTATTGAATAGAACTCTTGATTGTTAAATCCATGAAAAAATTCTTGTCATCATCTCTGTAACAATCAAAGTCTATACTAAAAATCTCTCAGATGCAATCATTTATAAAATTAGATTTTCTTTATATCCCTCTATATGACACCTGATTCTGAGTAACCACTTTATACATGCAAACTAATTATAATTAATTTTAATTAATGTGTAACCAAATGCCTGCACCTTGTATTTCCTGATGATGCTCAGTTGTCAAGGTGGTTAATGCACCTATACAAAACTATCAGGTAATCAGATCTTCTGCACATGAAATTTACCTTAATAGTCTTTGCTTTTAGACCAAAATGAGCTTCAATCCAAACTTGGTCATTCCTTTCTCCTTCCACAACATTAGGTTAGCATCTTATATTGGCCTCAGAAGTAACTTTAACACACAGTCTTAATACTACCTTAAACCCCCCCCAAAAAAAAAAAAAAACAAAGAGGAGACAGATTATAAATATAATCTTAAAATACTGGTGGAATATGAATTCTATCCTTTCACTCAGAAATTGATAAGAAGATACTGCAGGATTTTTCATTATTCACTGGTGCTGAAAATCCCCACTACATAGCATAATCTGAACCTAATACTAATTTCCCAAATAAAACTGTGGTTTTATCCCAGCTTTATTAAAAGACACTTCACCCCTTGGCTGCCGGAAAATCAGGGTGCTGCAAACTGATCCTTCTTTACTCTGTTTCTGAAGTATTTTATTAATGTTCCCAAGACATCAGTGACTGCGCTGTTCTCATTTGATGATACCAACACTGTCAATGTAGTTCAAGGTTTTACACAAAGCTGCCTAAAATAATGACACAAAGTGCTAAAAGGAAATTTAAAAAATAGAAAAATAGGCAATTTACAGATGGTGTGAAACTGTGTCTGCATTGGAAGAAGAAAGAAAAATTATTAAAGGCGGCAGTATAAAAACTGGCATGAGCAACCATTGTGTCAGTAAATGCAGTTTTTTGCCTTCGCAAACAAAATGTACAAATCTGCAAATCACAGCAGACAATGGCATAAGAGCTGCTAGTTCTCTCAAACACCCCAAAGCACACTGGTTCCATTCCTCTGGAAAAGAAAGCCTTAGCAGCTCTTCTACAGGATCAGCTTCTCTGAACTTTAAAATTTAGGTCAGTAGTATTTCAATATTTTGATCAATCATTTAAATAAAAGCACAGCACTTACCTAAAGTGTCTAAACAGTAGTGTTTCTTTAGCCAAAAATACCATTGGAAACACTGATCAAATTCAATTTAACCAGAATACTAGAAAAATGTAACATGCAGGAATTGATTAATTCTTAACATACAGACTTATCTGCTGTTTTCTAACTCTTCACATTTACCCCCAGCCAAAACATCTCACAGCAATTAAAATAAAAGTAGATTTAAGAAATCCTGTTCAAACTCTTTGTCTTTCTGGAAACCATAAACTGACTACACAAAATTCCCATGTCTGTCTCCAGTGCACAGGAAAAAGGAGCCTTTTATTGGAAAGGATTCTAAAAATCATGTTACCATAAATTTTCTTTTAAAAATTCACCATTATAGGTATTTGAACTCTGGGAGAACCTGCTAAAGGAATTTTGTCAAATTCTAACCAATTCTTTTTCAATTTCATAGCTTGAAGAAATGAAAATGTGCATATAAGAACATGAAATGAAAAATTAGAAAAAATGTGAAGAGCTGGTAGCTACAAAAGGTCTGTAGAGATTTCCTTTGTAAATTAGAGGTATTAAAATTTAAGTTCTCAGAATTAAGCAAAATGCTCAGATGCATGCCTAATTCTCTCTCAATTTTTCATTTTAAATAAAAAGATAGTAATTTTGATGAATATGAAAGAAATTGCATTAATCAGGGACCACCACCAAACTATACAACAAAGGTCAATAGCTCATCACAACGGTCAAGTCCAGCAATAACCTCAATGGCCTCAGTACTGCTCTTGAACAATGAGTCTAACACCATCCCTGCCCTACATTAAAAAACCTGGAGATGTAAAGAAGAGTATGAGGGAGAAAAAAGGAGTTTTTACACTAGCTGAAAACCACCATATTGAATCACGAGCCAAAGTATTTCTTTGCAATGATCAGACTTCCATTTATTCCTGAACTCATGCACATAAGAGGGGCTTATGAAGTTTTACTAACATAGCTAAGGACAGAATATGAGCAAAAATAATCTGAGCTTTAAGCAACTCAGCTTTTCTTTGACCTGTATGTCAAAAACACCTTAAGCAACCACATGCTTTGTCATACTGGAAGTTTGTCCTCTGGCAAGAGACCACATACAAAAAGTTTCAAGTGAAAACACGATTTGTATATGGAGCTTGAAATGCATGTGGGACAATTTAGTTTGTAATTGAAAGCACACAGAGCGTTTTCTGAAAGGAGCTACTGAAACTCCACTTTCACCAGAATTCTTGAAAATTTATTTCTTTTCTTTGTGGAAGGAATAAAACTCCTAGAGGATCATTTCTGTTTTGCACAGTACCATTAATCTCTTGTCCTCTTACAAAAATACTTCCCAAATTTAGAAAATGGGAAGA